AGCGGCCACTGCACTCCAGTCTGGGTGACGGAGTGAGACTCCAACTCAAAAAAAAACAAACAAACAAACAAAAAAACTGGGAGCAACTCAAGCTTTGCTTTGCTTTTTTCAGAGAGAAGAAAGCAAGTAGAGCTCGACTTTCCCACAGTCCCCAGTAAGGTGGTGAGCTCTCTGTGACAGGAGGTATGCAAGCATCATCACCAACTAAAATAGCTCTAATTTGTATCTTTTTTGTTTGTTTGTTTGCTTGTTTGACTAGGAGTCTCACTCTGTTGCCCAGACTAGAGTGCAGTGGCATGCTCACAGCCACTGCAGCCTCCACTTGCTGGGCTCAGGCGATCCTTCTCCCTCAGTCTTCCAAGTAGCTGGAACCATAGGTGTGCACCACCACGCCCAGCTAATTTTTTGATTTATTGTAGAGACGTGATCTCCCTAAGTTGCCCGGGCTGATCTCGAACCCTTGGACTCCGGCAGTTCTGTCGCCTCTGCCTCCCAAAGTGCCGGGATACAGGCATGAGCCACCATGCCTGGATTGATCTGTTTTTTTATACATGAATGTTTGCTTTTAAGAAAACTTTCCCTGACCTGGCACGGTGTCTCATGCCTGTAACCCCAGCACTTTGGAAGGCCAAAGCAGGAGGATTGCTTGAGCCTAGAAGTTCAAGACCAGCCTGGGCAATATAACGAGACCTTATCTCTACCAAAAAAAAGTTAGCCAGTTGTAGTGGTAGAAGGATAATCTGAACCCAGGAAGTTGAGGCTGTGGTGTGCCATGATTGTGCCACTGCACTCCAGCCTGGGCAACAGAGTAAGACCCCAACTCAAAAAAAGAAAGAAAGGAAGGAAGGAAGCTTCCCCTGCCCCAAACATTTAAAAACTTGCAACCCGTCCAGGCAGGGTGGCTCAGCCTGTAATCCCAGCACTTTGGGAGGCCAAAGCGAGAGGATTGCCTGAGCTCAGGGGTTCAAGACCAGCCTGGACAACTTGGTGAGACCTCATCTCTATAATAAATCAAAAAAATTAGCTAGGTGTTGTGGCTCACGCTTATGGTTCCAGCTACTTGGAAGGCTGAGGCAGGAGGATCGCCTGAGCCCAGCCGGTCGAGGCTGCGGTGGCTGTGAGCACGCCACTGCACTCTAGCCTGGGCAACAGAGTGAGACTCCGACTCAAAAAAAAAATTTTGCAACCCAGTCATTTTGATGAGCTTTCTGACTTATTCTAGCAACTAGGAACATCTTATATATTATAATGTAAGAAAGGTCTTGGTGACCTTTCAAGGTAGATATTAATATGCCCTTTTTACAGATGGCCAAACTGAGGCTCAGAAGCATTGAGCAACTTGCCCACCGACACCTGTAAGTGGCAGGTCCAGGAACCAAATCTAAGGCTTCTTGACTGCAAGCCCCATGCCTTCCGGCTTGCTGTGGGTCTGTGGCTTGGGTGTGGCTCCTGGAAGCACGTGGACATCAGGGAGAGGAAGGGCCTGGGAGGAGGTTTTCTGTCTTACATCCAGGTGCCGAGACCATGGAGAGAGAAAGGCCTGGCACAAAGCAGCCACTCAGCCCTGGCGACTCAGAGCAGACAGCATGGGTCTGTGGGCCTCAAGTCCCATCATGGGGTGCTGGCCCAGCCCTCGGCTTGGCTGCAGTAAACGGCCCGGGCGGGCTTGAACCCCGCAGCTCTGGCCTGACCTGCCAGGAGGGACCGTGGACACCGTCCTCCACCTGGGGACAATGACCGCCCTCAGATCACTGTCCCCCTTTCCTGCTCTGGAGGGTCTGAGGCCACTTTCTACCCTGGAGCACAGGCTTTGGGGCTGGACTGGGCTTTGGCCAGGTCCACTGCATGGACTAGACCGAGTCTGTTCCTGTGTCTGAGCCTCAGTTTCTTGATCTGTACAGTGGAGCTACAGGGCTGCGGAGGGGGCTGGTGGAGCACCCCGCACAGCAGGTAGCATGCGTCATGTGACCCGTGGATGGGTGATGCCACTGTTACGGAAACTGCAGGGTCTAGAGGGGTCAGGGAGCCCAGCGTACCCACTCAGAGTGCCGGGACACTCAGCCAACCCCCGGGGCCAGTCTCTGTATGTAGTTGGGACCGAGATCGCCTCAGCCCCAAAGGCGCAGACTTGAGAGTCTTGGGGAGGGTGGGGTCTAGCCACTGGCCCTGGGAGGGGTCACTGCTGGGTGGGGAGAGAAGTTCTCTGCCTGCTCCCTGCATGGCAGGCGGTCGTGTACCCTCCCTGCTTGCCCCACCTTCCTGTGCCGGTTGCCAAGACTCTAGAAACGTCACAGCCAGATGGGGTCTAACAGCTGGCAAAAGCTTGGACTCCAGAGTCAGCCTGGACCTGGGTGCAAATCACAGCCCTGCTGTGGGACCTCAGGCAAGTGACTTTGCCTCTCTGAGTCTCAGTTTCCTCATCTGGCAATTGGGTTGTCGGGACACTTTGCTGCAGAATGTACTCGAAGTGCTTGGCCCTTACCAATGTTGGCTCATGCTTATGGGACAATGACGGTGATCATCACCGTCTTCATCACTGCCATCATTACCACAGGTTCCAGGCTCAGCTTCCCGCCGGGTCCTCTCCGAGCTCTGCATGAGACAGCCTAACCTCCTT